GTTATATTACGTCACACCCAATATATAATTAGACACATGATTGTAAACGACACTCCGAAGTGTATCAATAAAGAASGCAAGCAACAAGTAGTTTCATGATCTAACACTCCCCAACATATTTCTGRCCGCATTCACTACACGTTAAAAAAATGTCGTAAGTTACTCCAAAAGCACTACATGGGCCTTGGCCTCGCACACTTGGTACAACCTCGTCCCCAGGGTCATCTCGGCCGACGCCTATTCACGACCATTCAAGGCGCTGTCATCTCCATAGGCTACCCAACTATTGCTTGAGAGAAAGAAAAGAATGAATGCGCACGCTTTTATATTATGTTATCGAATCGGCGCGCGATGTGGGTTACCTGTGGTATTACCTGTGGGTCAAACTTATCCTAATGAACAATACCTTTTCCCATTAAAAAAGGAACCAAACAAGGTGACCCCATTTGTCCATATRTATTTATACTAGTAATTGAAATTCTGGATACCATGATAAGAAAATCCGAGAATCAAAATTAAAGGTTTCAATTACTCTGTGAACAGAGCTACTTTTCTCACCCGCTGAGAAGCGAGAGAAAAATGGTATTGGCGGGTGAGAAAAGAAGCTCTGTTCGCAGAGTAGGTTTCAATWCGCCTGGCAATTAGACCACTTTCACAAGTGCCTACTATCGATTTTATATGATCGGCAATATTAAGGAAACATTCAGCACTGTCATATTGAAGAACTATCACAAATAAGTAATTGTGCAAAATTTGGAAGATATAGATTAATTATACTAATGAAGTTATGGAGGAATGAAAATACAAGGATTTGTATGAAATTCTTTACTAAGGCCTTGGTGGCCTCGTTTTGGTGTTTTTGTGCATCTTCCAACCATATTATAACTTCCAGAGGATTTAATATTTTTCTTTGAAACTTTCAAAGCTTATCTTTAGCTTTAATATCTATCATCTGAGTGTTTTCCTTTGTCAACATATCATTATGAATTTGACAATAAATGCTAATTAGTGTCAGCCATTGTGAAAGTCGTTCATGAATTTAAATTATTACTATTTAGTGTCATGACAATATTGATATTGGATCAGGTATCGCGTTATTTTTCGCATCACATTTTCCTCATTTGTTTGGGTAAGGGATCAAGAGTTTTAGATCGATGTTGAATGACAATTATTGTCTAGGAATTATTAGGATCACAACAGGTATTCAGAATCAGTCATCAAAATTGTTTTTTTTTTTGGATCAAGGATCTAAGTTTTACCTCTTGAATCACACTGCAAAATTTACTATATACCTCATTACTACCCTCTGGTAGGTGCTACTTGCCAGATTAAGACAATAAAAATGCATAGAGTGGTTTTCCGTCAGCCATGAAAAAAATAGACCAACTAGTTAGTAGCAATGAGTAATAGACTAGTCAATATAACTTTTAGACATATAAACTATAAACGGATAGCTAACAAACAACAGTTTGAACAAATTAAACGTTTAGTTTAATTAGTTAACATATACCAAATACGACCATTAAAATAAACAAAACTTGTTTTTGTGATGAATATGTTTATACCTATCAATCGGGTACAAGACTAGACTATTAGTATTAGTCAATTACAAACTACTACTAACTATAACACTTATTGTGCTTTCATGGTTGACGGAAAACCACTCTAACTTCAAATCTTGGATCTCCACAGTATCTCATAATCACTTCTATCTGCCTTTTAGGAGATGATAGTTTAAATACTGAGTATCCAGTAAATAATACTAGCTTGCTAATCCTGTAAAACAAAAACAAAACAAAAAATCAAATGTACATATAAAACTGCAAAAAACAGATGCTGGCATATAATGAAGGTGTAATTTGCAATGCAACCCTACCAAGATAATCATCCATCAGCGAGCCAATAGCAAACTGCAGTAAAAAATAATRATTTTTAATTACCTAGTATTTAATTTATAGATGTACAGGGGCCTATTATGGGTTGGCAGTTTAACCATTTAGAGGTCAGTTTTTGATAGTCGGATTTCATTTTAGGTAAGATATAAAATATGAGCAGGAGACCTTTATTGGCATTTAAAACTGTGAGCTGTAAGCGAGCAGTTTTATAGCCAATAAAGGTCAGACGAATATTTTATATTGCTTATCAAATTCCAACATAAGGTAAAGCATATTTCAAAAAAAACATCAGGATAAAATATCACTTTTGTAAGAGAAAATCGAAGTTAAAGTCGTATGCAAATCAGGACAAATCTCTTGCTCATATAAAGATGCAGTCACGGCAATGATTTTCCATTGTGTTTACCTTATGAATTATTAATGAATTTGATAATGCCTTCCTCCACTTATAACCGCAGCACCACCCCTATTAGTCCAGTCAATCTATGGATTTTGCTTGAACAAATTGCAACAGAATTTTTTTCACTGCAGAAATGTTCTTTAGCACTTGCTTAACAACATACTAAAAATCACCGTCAATCCCAGTGGTGGAACATATCGAAATCTAACTTTGAACTTTTCGCCATATTACACAGGGATCCCATAAATAGAAAAAATCAAAATGTTTGTACAAAGCAGCTAAATTCCATGCAATACATTATGCCCAACGTCAATATGTTCTTTTAGACCTTTGCATGATTCTAAGCAAGTAATGTGTGAAAACAAAGCCCTTTAAGCTAAAGCACAGGGATCCCATACAAAGAAATGTAAAATTAATTTTTATACAATAGCAATGTAAAACCATGCAAAATATATGTTTGCATCGTCCAAACATTATTTATTTTGTGAAATAACAACAAAAAGAAAAGAAAAATAATAACAAATAAACAAAAATGTTCTTTTTTTTATTTTTGCGAATTTACTGGTACTATATGCTAGTTTACTGATAATGCTTGAATGTTTTATTTCGACATCTCTAGCTATATATAAGACTAATAAAGACCTACTTGCTGATAAAAATACAAAAGATCATTGGTATACAACAAATATAACGTTCCGTGCTTATGCTCAAGGCAGTTATTGTTCATATTGGGTATCGGCTAGTTATCAACATCAGTATTCATGTCTAAGTCGGGTTGGATGGCATTCTTACAGCTGTATCCCTGACAGACACCACATGCTGATGTGCAACTCAATCCATTCTTTCGACAGGAGCATCTTAGAGTGTTGCAATCCGTTTTGCATTTGCATCTGATGAGCTCTAGAATTGATTCATGTGCAGGTGGTAGCTCAGTTCTTACAGCTTGGAACTTACCATCGATCAGTTTCCATCCCCATTCGTCAGGTGGTAAAGTGTTCCCTTTCCAATATTGTACTTGATGATAGACTCGCAGGCTATGAAGTTTAGCGGCTGTGGAGGTTGGCGGAAGACTCTCTGGCTGTACAAATGCTGTTCCAGCGGCAACTTTTTGACAAAACTTTACATATCTGAGGGAATCAAGGCTTTTGTCGAGTTTGCTGTTGTACAAACACAACAGTGCTTTCTCTCCTGCCATTATGACTTCATCCTTTGTGGAATCTTTGTCAGCAAAGATTAAGGCCTGTTCTCTGAAGGTAGAGCTCTTTGCGAAGCACTTCAGTGCTGCTCCTTTACCAATACCATATATGCCAGATGTAGTGTCACATCCCAAGATTGCATGTACAAATAAGATGTTGTCGCAAACATTTAAGCCAAGTGAAGACTTAGTGTCCTTTATGCTCCAGATTCGTTTAGTTTTGGATCTTTTCTTAGGCTCTGGCTTAAAGAAGACGTCGTGCGCATCCATCTTAACATAATAGCAGAGAAGAACCAGCAAATCAGTGTCGTCACCAATAAGCACAGTCGTCTCAGATTCCGATGACTGAATTGTGGTTAGAGCAATGGCTAAATCGGCATCACTCACAGAGTGATACACTTTATATCCAGCCAGACGAAGTTTTTCTCCAAGGAGGTTAACAAATTTCTGCTTGTTTGAGGGGTTGGAGAGGAATTCATCTTTTTTCAACTTGAGCACCATGTCTTGCTGGAAGTTAACCTCGGGGCTGTGTGCAGTGGTTCGTCGTTGGTGAGTGCAGTCTTTCGTAGACGGGCCACACATATAACCGTCAAAGACTATTGTAGCTCTGTTGTACCTTCGCTTGATATATTGAACATACTGAGCACAGATATCAGCATATGTCACATTGCTTGGCCATGGGATACGGTGCAAAAGGGCGCCACCATCAAGGACAAAATAAGGATCTCCTGCCGGTGATACTGTTTGACTGTTGCCAGTTGAACTGGCCCAAATTGCATCGGCTAAAACTGGTTTGTTGGCCTTGCGGAGAAGTAGTGAGGCATCGAAGANCTACTTCAGTAGTAGCAACAGAGACAAAGTCACAACAAAGGAAGTGGCTGGAGGCTTGTCAAATTGCCAAGGGAAAGAACATATTGTTCAATAGGGACAAAGGTCGAACACTGCCTGGAAACTATTTGTGCTTGCTCAATAGTTAATTAATATTCTTATCTTTCTTGATTTCATTTGTAACAGCGTGTGCATTGCCTTTATTGCGCACGCAAAAGTAGTTTCATTTCAGTTTGAATGCGTTTTTGTTTTTGTTTTTGTAACGTCTTTGTGTTCCCTGAAGATGACCGCTTAGTTCGAAAGCTTGGAAAGAAGTTTAAAATTATTCATGGTTGATTAAACAAACTACGTATAAATATGAAAAATACAACCAACAAAGATCTTTTAAAATCCCATTAATGTTGTTCAGTTGTAAAGAATTAAAGACAACAACAATCCCGTTTGCATATATTGCTTAATTTCTTGTTTTTTAATATTAAACATAAAATGAAGGTCTGTATGTGAAAATGGCGTAAGTGATGATTASGGTATTTTTGAAACTTTCGCAAAATGGAAAAAATACAATCATTTGTTTCTAGTCCAAATAATCATGTTTGCTAATTATTTCTCGTGATTCCCTTTAAAAAAAGCGAAAAAAAATCGACATTTAGTTACAGACCGTACCCTCCCCTCCCCCAAACTTTAGCTTAGGGTTAGTTCTAGCCTTATGCAAGGGTTAGGGTCCCTATACTCCCCAGACCCTAGGGTTCCTTGATTTAGGGTTAGGGTTACTAGGGTTAGGTGTTGGGGATAGGGTTAGCTAAGGGTTAGGCTCCCCCCCCCCCCCCCTCCTCCCTTTTTCTACTACAAAATTCTAGATTTCAACAAGCGAATTACTGTTTGTACCAAAATTCTTCCATAAACATCTCAAGTTATGGCTTTCTCTTTGGACACTGACTCAGAACACACGGATTCTTGCGCGCAATGAGTTCTGGGTGAAAAATGGACGCGGTGACGGCAACATTTCCCTCAAGTCTGAAATAGAAATTTATATAACAAAAACAGCCTTCTCGGAATTCTTCCAAAATTTCAAGTCCTTTGTGTTCCTCAAAAGCCAAAACATTCAAAAAGGTATCCAGTTATTTCGCACAAAAGACTTTTCGCCCAAGTCGTTTCGCCCCAAGTTTCGAACCATTCGCACAATTCTTATATCGATGAATAGTCATTTCGTACCGTAAATAAAACCCCTTAAAGAAAGATATGAAAGGTATATCAATCTACTCTAATTATAACATTTAGTATAAACATACGAATGGTCTATCACTCATACTGCGCTGTGATTGGCTACTCTACTAATGGTCTAATTTTGATAGACCACTCGCGGGAAAATCAAAATAAATAAATTATAAATTATTTTAAGGATATTTCAATTTTTTTTCATTATTTGACCGATTAGTATGTTTATACTAAAAACAATTAGACCTCTCGGCCTCGTGGACTACGAGCCAATAGCCCATTCGGCCTCGCAGACTCAGCCTCATGGGCTATTAGCTCATAGTCCACTCGACCTCGAGGTCATCCACTCGACCTCGAGGTCTAATTGTTAAATATCACTTTCAAGTGACATTCGATAAAATCTTATGGCTTTTAAATCAATATTAATATGGAAAACATTTCAACAACCTCGAACAAGACACCGTTAAAAAACGACAACTCAACAACTTGGTTTATTTGTACGAGCACCGCACTGGAGAAGTGGTTAAATAAACTCAATTCTTTTTAATACCTTATATTTGATAACTGATTCAAGGTTACTACGACATTTGTATGGCTTTTCAATACGAACGCGATATTCTAGAACACTTGATCACTTGAGACAACTTTAAT